TATGGAGTTCACACTCATACGAATCACCAGAGTGAACGAGTGAGATGTAGTCAGAGTTGGATAGTACCGATTTCCTATAGTTTGTAAGCTTGAACATTTGGCATCAAGCATCCACCGTCCACTGGGACAGACGCACCGAAGTTTCACGCGCTTAGGTGGAGCCATGCATTGGGTTTTCGAATCAACACACCATTGTCTGTGCTAAATCGAATTCACGGACATTCAGGGAAAAGTGCCTCGAAATGCGATGAATAATGTACTAGAAATGCGGTAGGGAGAACGCAAGAAATGCTATAGTTAGGAAAGAAATAGAGATAACTTGGAAAAAATCAAGGGCCATCTGTACGCGTGATTAGGAATGATCACTGACCGAGCATCTGAGTTCTTTCTGGCTCGATCAATATGATCTTAAGACGGGGATAAATCTTGAGGAGGATTTGAACAAACAGAACAAGATTCTTGCTGTAAAAAATACGTGTTCGTATTTCGCAGGGGCTAAGCAAGTGAGGAAGATAAAAGACTTACAAGCAGCGATACTTAAATAAAAAGCATATTATTGGGAATGATATTGTCCTCGTGCTAAAACTATCCGATTTTTCAGTTCTTTGAATAAATTCAAATAACTATTCTTTGTTCGTGGAAAAATGAAGGACCTTGAATTCATTACATAAAAAATAGTCATAAAGGAAGCGCGGCTGAATGACAGATCGATTCAGAAAAAGCATTTCGGCAGAAGACTTGCAGTTTTCCGTCCTGTCTAACACCTGCGTAAAAATTGTTACAATCAGTCGATTGTGCTTCCTTGAACGAGCGCATCTTCAAGTGCACGATTGTTACCGCNTTTTGCTCATACTGAAGTTCAAATCTATCATTATTATTTGCAAGCTAAAGTGACCAGCAGTTCTCAGTCGATTCGATACGTTTGATAAATTATCGGCCTTTTATGGGAGAATCACCACGGAGACCACTTCATTCTATTGAATTTGGGGGTCTTGTCCTATTTCTATGCTGATGAGCGATGAAAACGATTAGAGTGCGGAAACTCTGTACACACATGGCTAAAGTGGTCGAAAAGCGCGCGATTAAAAAAATAATAACAACACTATAAACAACAAGAGATTGCAGCGTATTCCGGGTCCTCCAGGAGAAATGTGGGAATGCTTACTTTTAACTAACTGGCAACCTAATCCGTTTTGCCCAGGCACGTCGGAAATAAATTCAATGCGTAGGGCTCAATAACGGGAAATTTTATTTTTCTGCTTCATTTCCGTGCAAACCCAGCCATGAATGGGAGATTTTTTTTCTTCAGAGAACCCACATAAATACGCCAATCAAGTTAAAAGGTATGGGTAAGGTTCATGTTTGATCACTAAAGCTATTACGAATAAACGTACTCCACTCTTTCCATGAATTGATAGGTTAATATATTTATAGTATCAAGTTTGGACGACCCCAAAAAAGGACGAAACAGCTGTTCAGTGCTCTTTGTCAGTCATCACAAATATATCCATCGCAATCAATATACTGTTACTTATAATATAGGGTATAGGGTATAGCTTTGGTTTTCATTGTTTTTGGATACTTCTTTTTGGTCTATTTTGTTTCAAAAGAATTGAAAATATTTCTCACTAATCATTAGCTAAATTGCTTTGGGCCTCACACAATGATTATCTTCAGAAATAACTTATTTTAATTTACTTTGGAGACTAATCTTTCAATTAATGAGGATTTTCAGTGGTAAACCAGCACAAAATAGAAAGTAATCTGTCTATGCAGAGCCATTGCATTTTTAATAATGTTTTAAACAAACAAGCAGTTTTGCCAATTGCTTGGAGTGAGACGCGTAAAAACATTGAACTGTGAGAAAGATGGAAGGTTCCCTTTGCAGTTCAAACATCATATTTGGAGAAGCTTACTGATTCAAGTAAAACTTTCTCATAAAATGAAAGGACGAGAGTATGTAAATCTTGTCAAACCCTTTATTGATTGAAGAAATAAACTATTTACTTCAATTTTACCATACTGCACTTGGCTCACTGAGGGGATAAGCTGGATTCGTGAAGGATCATGAAGTCCACAGAGTCACTCGATTTCATTATTTCGAGAATGCACTTTCAGAAGTAGCACAGTCACGTGTGAAGTGCGCTGGGAGTAGTGTGTGTGTCGGTGTTTAGTTGCCGATAGCCCATTTAGCATTCGATTAGTGTGAATTCTGCTCCGAGGATACATGTATCCTTGTATACGGCTGAATCAGGCCGTTGATATCGTACACCTATTCACGAAGCTTCCTACGCTGTTTGTCTTCCCACCGAGTTCACAAGCATCGGTCACCCTTAATCCGATTTACCCCGACTATCCTGCAGTTTCCTCGGGTAGGGCTGCTGGGGCCTTTTGGAGCCAGAGACGAGGACTGGGTAAGTTATCAAGATGAAAGAAATGGAAGATGTTCCAATAATACAACAGGCTGTCAGCGTTCAGATGTGTTGGTTGTATCTGAAACCGCTTACATCCCAAAAAAGGCACAGTGTGGATCCGAAATAGAAGGGTGTTTTCAGGTGTTCATGTCACCGTTGCTCGTAAATAGATTCATCATTCTGGAGGTAGCATATTTCATTAGCTTCTTCTAAACTACTCAAACGTAGAACCCTACTGAGCTGTATGGATTAGTATTAGTTTTAAAGATGTACGGAGCACCAACCGAATTTGAGACACTCGCCATCAGCGTGCTTTACCTTTTTATACACATGGCTTCGGACAGTACTGTGTGCAACATATATGTAACCAATTGCCAAAATTCGAACTCGGTGGAAATTTGTTTTTTCTTCATATTCATAGACATTTCTCCAGCAAGTGACTGCTGATCAGGTGCCTAATTTGTTCCGATACGTTTTACACGAAAATTGTGACATTATATCAAGGATGCATCCAAACTGGTTCATTATCTATTTCTCATGGTGAGCTTCAATAGTTCATTTTGAGCATGGTTCAAATTTTTCACACTTTTGAAAATTTCAATTTAGGAAAAAACTTGAAAATTTCTACCACCACACAAATAACAATGATAGAGGACAATGGTACACTTACCAAGGAATGTAATTTGCAGGAACATGCCTATATGTCCAATGGATAAACCAACTTGCCACGTGGTCAACATACCGACCACATAACCCAGGAAGGTACTCACAACTAAAGGGAACAAAAAGAGCAGGACACTGAATCGAAGAGCCAAAGGTCCCGAAAGACGACTGATATTTCTGAGTTCACCTGCGGATGGAAAATAAAGATCGGAAATAATCATTTGTAAATCGAAATTGTTCATGATTATCTATAAACTTGTAAACTAATTCGGAAAGTTAATCATAAGTTTTTGTCAACCTATCAATTACTTCGAGAACTGCAAACAAAAGACCATTAAAGTTTTATTCGAAATTTAGCCGACGAAATAAGGGAAAAATCTATTCAAGCGATCGACGAGTTCTAGTGCATTGCTTAATAGATTCTAAGAAAGATATTGCAATGCTTTTCTGGAGGGATATATGAATATGCACTTGAAAAAATTATTTTATCCAAGCAACTACATAACTCCTAATGCTCAATAGGTTCTACGAAAGGAGCAGGCTCAATCTGGTTTATGCGACCAACTGTAAAATCTAACGGTCTTTTGAGGTGATACGCTCTTTCATTTTTCCTGCTTACCCAGACTTAGAAGACAAATTATATACGTGTGAATCAAAAGCCATCTCACAAGACATCTGGTTAAGTTTAGTTACCGGTGCCCAATATAATAGGTTACTCAATTAGATTTATGACTCCAAATTCCGGTCAATGCCGTCATAGACTTGAACGAATATCAATTTGGAGCAGTTAGTAAGAACTTCCACTGAATATGAGACACCGTCGGTTATGGATTATACTCTACAGACACCATCTTCCGGATTAAAACCAATCTGTCAACGAATTTGAGCAACACCTTTCAGGCGAACACTACATGCGTTTTTTAATAACCCAGTAGTGAGGTAAAAGAAACCCAGTTTCATCCAATTTTGAGTAGCAACCGGTTCTCCTGCTAATGAATCGGAAACAGCAAGTTATCGTTATAGGAATCCAAACGATGCATTTGCGAAAAGGCATTGAGTGCAATGAGGAAAATCTACGTCGAATTACTGTGATTCTCCACGTCGTTATTCCACCACTTACTGGCAAGTCGAGAGAGATATTCTTTGTCATTTTGCGCGGTGAAAATTCCAACGGTGACCGGGAAATTGGACAACCTGCAGGTAAACATATCAGCCAAGGCCCGAATGGTGTTTGTTCCATGATTTGTTACATCCGCTGTGTTCAAATCCAGAGGATAATGGAAGGCCCCTGAAATTTCAACGGGAAAAACATTATTTCAATAATGCAGGTAATAGCGCCATCATCATTATCAATATCATCAAGGAATTCTCACAGTGATCAATATATTAACTAGTGCGATGTTAGTACACTTTATGATAATCAGCAGTAAAACCGGGAAAGCGGTTTGATAGGAATTAAAAGTCTCGATCTTCTTCCACTTTGTGACGTTCCGAGAAAATGAATTTAATCGATATCTACAACACCTGTGAACAAGAGGAGGTGATTATTAATAGGCGTCTAGCAAGATTACTGAGCGCAATTTTTGTATCTGGTTCTCCGTATGGTGTTTTCCGACAAACATGCGGTATTCACCAGTTTCGATCCGACCGTCTTTGTCTTGAAAAAGGTAATAGCCTCTGATCAACCATCCATCATCTTGTATTTTGCAACGAGTACACGAGGAGGGATACGGAACTGATTTGTTCTTGCGTGCCTGTGTGTATGTGTGTGTGATATTACAGGTATAACTCAATGGGATTTCTATAGTTGGCATTAGTAGTAGACAGACACACACGCTCATCACAAAGCATGTACTCTTGCTGCTAGGTGTAGGAATATATTCGGCGTGAATTGGCTAGCAAAGACAGATGGTTAGCATACGTTCCACCTGTTCCAACAGGTTACTTAATTGCATGTTGCTTCTGTGGGGGATGCAGTTCGGAGGAGAACAGGAGCGGGGAGGAGGAAAGTTTTGTCCCCAATCGTAGCAGTTCGGCACACTATGTGTGAACAGACTGAAAAACCGCTTTTTCTAAGACACGTGGTAATTCAAGCTGACATTTAAAGTGTACGTCGGAAGCACTGTGAAAACAACGGAAACACGGATGACCTAAGCGCGATGTTTTATTGAAAAATAACGATAATTTCAGCTTTTAGGCGAAATTGTCATTGATGTTCAGTGTTTCATTACAAATAAGAAAGTATACTCACAGATCAGGGTAACACTTGCTAATTTTAATATGACTAAAACTGATAAACGAAAAAGCTGAGATATCCTAGGTGAAAATATCGATTGGATAAGTTTATGTAAAACAAATATTTCTGAGTTTAAGCAAAACGTCTTTTATGCTGTTTTGAAAGCTTAAAGTTTTGTTTTGTTCGCGGAAAGATTTGCCATTACAATTTGAAGTCAACCCATTTAATTATCTTTCAGGTGCAATTTTCTAAAATTTCCTATCTGGTGGAGACTGGAAATGATGTTTTTTCTTTTTGCTCAAAAAATGAAACTTGACAGATCTATAGGAACGAAAAGGTGACCTATGCCCATCACTCATTTCGCCTCGTTCACAATACGTCTTTGTCGTACCGAACGCCACGAATGTTTTCATGCGTTTTATCTATTAGTTTCACAGTATAACAAACGTAGTGGATAATCTATTTCTTCCCCTGGTAATCATAAACTACATAAAGTTACCATGTTGAAAGCTTTACTTTCCGAGCATTCTAATCAATACGTAACGTCATGGAACAATCTGCATGAGCTTCATTCTGAACTGTCAGTTACGCAAGTTGATGGGCTGTAATTCACAATACTCCTCTAGATGGAATACCATTTAGTATGAACGAATACGTGTTAGTGCACTTACTGTGTACATTCTTGTAAAGAAAAACCTAATTTAATTTTCCCAAAGGTGTGATTTATTGATGCTAGTGTTTGCTGTCAGTCAGTTGCTAGACATCCTCCAAGCCTTTATATAGGCAGTTCTGGCAGAAGGGAAGAGGACAGCTTTTATCTCCGATAAACAGGGTTTCTCAGCTAGTGGGTTTGAGTGTGCGGTAAAATTTCGAATGCACTTTGATTCAAAGGGATACTCCCAGTTGTAACTGACCGGTAATTTGAAAGTCCGGAGAACATGTGTGGATAGACTGACATCAGATTAATGGACAAATATTCCATCTGTTTTAGCATCGATGACGATGAGGATAAGAGAAGCTTTTATCACATCATCCGGAATGTGGAAACTTCCTCGTAACTTCATCCAAGTCACATACGAGTACAGGGACCTGTTTCCTTTTCTTCACCTCGCGCCTCGTTTGACGATGAATACTGCATACCACTTATGAAACCTAAGTTTTGCGAGCATCATTCAGCAAAATCGATATCGTTCGGCGGGGTACTTGAGAATTTTATTGTTAAAAAATCTCGTAATAACCAATAAATTTGTATGAAATCTGTCCAGTTTATCTGAACATTTCGTTTCAATATTGCGAACAACGTTGAGTTATTCGCACAGTTCAAAATAAGCATTAGTTTTAACACACAAACACAGCGAGACAACCTCACGATGCACAGTCTGTATGGCTCTTGATTGCAATAGGAAAACTCCAAAGCACCACACAACCCCCCATATTCCAGCAAGCCCGTCAATCAGCCGGGCGTTAAAAAGTAGTGTGAATAATTCACTAGCGTACACGACTCTGTGTCCCCGAGTTTCTAGCCCCCGTGCACAAATATGCAAACCGTACACCAGAGAGAGAAAGAGTGAGAGAGGGAAAAACCTGAAGGAAGTAAANGTGTGTGTGTGTGTGTGTGTGTGTGTGTGTGTGTGTGTGTGTGTGTGTGCAGAGATCTATGCTTCCCACTAGCACTAGTACTAATAATGCTACTACTGGTAGCACCATTGCTATCTTGAATGTCGGAGAGAATGAGATGTAGTTTGAAGGTCTAAGAAGCAATATCGCCAGTCGTACCGGTCAAAATAGGCTCGTCCGGTTTGACTGTAAAGTGGGGACCCACCGAAACAATAGAACAATAATTCCGAGTATCCAACTTACCCAATTCCAATAAGGTATCTAGATCACTTCGCTTTGAATGCGTGGAGCTTTGCATAGGTTGTTTCGACTCCGAAGATTGACAAGCGAACACACGAGTTGTTCCCGGCATTTCGCTTTGACGACCCGCAGGTCTCATCCTTCGGGTTTGTCTGTAATGCCGTATCTCTCTTCGACCAGCGTCTCCGAACGGAGCACGGTAATAGCCGGGTTGATGTAACGGGAAAACCAGTCTGCTCTCGGAGCCAGAAATACCTACGTTTTTCTTTTCCTGTCTCTATAACGCGCTGCACTTCGGAAAAAACACTCCTCGATGGACCAACGAGATAACACTTCCCTGAGGATGCATCGATTGTTGAATTGGCATTTTTAGGGCCTCATGATCCGAAGTAATGAAGGCGGGATGCTGAAATGTGAGTAGCAAAAAATGTGTGATCTTGAATGGCAGTTCAAATGTAAGAGTAGCCGAGATAGTTATTTGTTATCCGTTTAACACATGTTACTAATTTTCACTTGAATGCGCGCTGTTTAGCAAGCTTGAGAAAAGACCATTGCTCTTGTGTATGCGTGTGTTCTGAAAGACTGATATCAGTTAAATGAAATTAAGTTTAGTCAAACTGGGCCTTATGCACCTGACATAGATTGCATCTTCGTCATTTTGGACGAGATACAGCAAAGAAATATAAGCGTAAGACGAATAGAAACTAAAAAACAGCTGCACGCAATACAAATTATCACTGACGCGTTAGGTTTGTTTTTCATATCCATAATGACAGATGTCCGATTTGTTCAGATACGGGGTAGAAAATCCGTGATGATATTTCGTTTAGTGGTTGTACATGTAGGGTGAAGCCCGAATTTGTACAGAATATGCGGATGAAAAAAAGACATAAAGACGGGCATGTGGACAGTGTTCTTCTTCGTTAGACAGCATGTGGCTGGTGAATTGAGCACATGCCCCAAAATAATTTCATACAACACGATCAAAAAAAGTCGATTTTGATGATTCCACAGAATTCAGATTGAGGTAAATGGAAATAAGGATGAAATAATTCTGTTCCCGACCGATGAAAATTAATGGGACCTAGTGAGCAAAAATGTTGGCTTTTACAAGTGTAGGGATTACATTTAAGGAAACAACAGGCTCATCAAACCGGAAAGCGTAGACAGTCTTTGAACTCTGATGTGTTTACCGAGTCTGAATAAAAAAAGTTAACTGCAATATAATTGACAGATTAAACCTTTGAAATGAGATTATTGTCAATAGCAAGTTCGGGCTTTTAACTGAATTGGGTATAGCGATGGGTGCCTGTTTGAAGTCTACAAGGACTATCAGCACACCTAACGACTTTAAATATCACAAATCAGGGAATAAACCAACTAAAAATTTGATTTAGTCAGGCTAGGAGTCAGCAAAAACTGTACAAACAATGGAAGAGATACCCAATCAGTAACTGGTCAGCGTAGTTGCGCGTGAAAAAGTTGGGAAGAATGTAGAGTTTATTTTTGTACAAAGAAAAAGAAAAAGAAAGTAAAATGATAAAGATAAAATAGCATCATGAGAAATCCCTAAATTAACTCCTGCAGAGGACGAGGTTTCAACCCTACAAAATTCAGTACACCTAATCCCAAACAATGATTGAAAAGACGGTGAATGAGAGTCCCACGGTTAAGCGCCCCCAAACCTGGCCATGAGTCAAACCAGTAGGTTTGTAAACAAATTGAAGAGAGTAATGTAAATTGGACAAAGGGGTCGTCTGGTTTGGAAACATTCCTTTGAAAATGTTCATTAGAGTTGATATACGGGAAAACGGTTGGGTTTCTTTAAACATTTTCTCGAAGATCGATGTTATTTGGGTGAACCTCCAGCAATCAGGACACTTTAAGAGCATATACATCAACTAAATAACTCGGCAATATGTCAGATTATAGTTGTTTAGCACACACACACCCTCAACAAAACGCCAGACAATGAATCAGAGCCATCTGGCTTGTCAACTTCGATGTAGTTCAAAACCTTCAAAACTTCAACCGACGATACAGAGATGTAAATGACTATGGTATTTAGTCGGGTGTAGAAACATAAGTTGACCATTTAACATCTCCACATCTGAACAGCAGCTTTTGTGTGTCCTTCATAACTATTTCAATGTTGATCACAAATTACGACCATTTCTGTCTTCCAGAAAAGTTTTAATTTATATTTGATTAAGACACCGGATGTCCATTTTAAGTGAAACCGTTAGCGATGCGTTCAACAGGCGAATAAGTCTTTCTTTTATCCTGAGGGAACTGCTCTGGTGGGGAGGAGATGACAAGTCGTTGGTGAGATTGCACAAAGTAATTAAACGGACAACACAGATTGAAGCAAATTACGGCAATAAGCAAGATGTTCAGAACGCGAAGGGCTATCCGTATTGGTGAATACGGAAAAATCAGTAAATGATGAACCCATGTCTTTAAGTCCAGCTTAGTTCTAATTGGGAAAACTTACTCTTTTAACAGCTATACATACAATAATTTGATAACTTGTTTTGAAAATACTGACAGCAAATCTTGGGGTAAAGAAATGACAGCGGTCTGAGATGCTTGTACCACGCTGCTAGTCAGTGAAGAACATTAATGGTTTGTAAGCAAAGATGCTTGGACATCGATTCGAGTAGCGTAATGTTTTATTCATCACGTTATTAATAAAAATGGGTCCCAACAATTAATATCCCTGTCGGCAGAGTAAAAAACTGATCCGTACTTTTCGCAGAATAAACAAGCAAATCGTTTCCGAAGGCGGTTGTGTAAGGATCAGTGCAAATATTAGCTAATATAATGAGACTGTATGAAAAAGGGGTTTAAAAAGCAACTTATAAACGTTTTTAACAACATTTTTGGTCGATAAATTTGATCACAAAAGGGACGAAATTCATGAACTACTGATCACACCCGATAAAACTTCATGATTACCCAAATTGCAGGATAACGTTTGACCAGGGAGGCTAAACACGTTCATTTATAAAGCAGGAACAGGTGTTTCTCCATCGAAAACTTGTGAAATAGTATCTGATGGAAAAAATGTAGGGTAAAATTCAAAGATTTGCCCACATATTCTAGCTGTATTCATGCGTTTCATAAATTCAAAAATCCAACAAGAGAAATCGACGCTTAAGCTTTCTCGGTTGTGTTTTACAGGTACCGTGTGAAGCAGTTTACAAGAATTCGAAGATACCAAGATTCTCTACTGGCAAGAATGCATTTTGCACGAATTACCATTTTTAGAACTCCTTAAACTAAAATACCATTTATGAAAGAGGAAGATTAGATCACGGAACCCGGTTGGTAGTAATTGTGAATCTATCATAGATGATGCTTTTTATGATGTGTTTTAATTCTGGGTGCTTGTTGATCAGAAAATCGGCGTTGTCAGCAGAGGCGATGATAGGCTCACATTTAGATTGAAAGAACAACTCGTTAAGACAAGTCATCTGTGACCGGCCTATTGTTCGGGGTGATGACGGAGCCGTTTAATAAACGAATACAAAAATCCGTATTCTAAGGAAAACGAAAAAATACAGACAAACATTTACATGAATTTTCGGAATAGATTTTTCGCAGATCTCTGCAATTTCGCGGACAAATGAAACAGGCGACGTAGCTCGTGGGGAATAAATAAGTCAAACTTACAACGGTATTTTCGTCTAATATTGTGAGAAACTACCTTAAAAATACTTCCACTTATTTCCGGCTCACCCGCGTTTCACAAGAACTTTTGATGAGCCCAGAGAAACTAAAATAAAACTACTATAAAATTCAGGGGTTTGCTAAATTTTAAAAAGGATCTTAATAGATAAATGATTCAACTGAATGCTACCATTAGCCCAGTTAGCTAACTCAAACTGCTCAGAGAAGAGCACATTGTTTAGCGATGCCAAATGATTTTATCAAACTTTGCCACTTTGTAAACCCTTCGCATACTCACAAAACTATACCCTTCAATGAAACATCGATTTCCTTGGCATGGAGATTTATTTTCGATATTATTCATGTGATACTCACAAATTTATTGAGATAAATTAAAGGTGAGATCCTGCCCTAATAGTGAATAAAGTTGTGTGCACATTGTATGAAAACGAAATATATTAGGGATTTGAATAAGAACTGTTATCGTTGATATCGGAACGGGAATGTTGCTTTGGCTGAACAAGGAAAGGTTAAAAAATGAAATAGAGAGTGTGAACTGGAGACTTGCTCTTAGGAACGGGTAAGGGGGCCTCTAGAAAGAAGACACGTGTGTGGATACGTTTTAGTTATGGCGATACCTGTGAGTATAGCATTTTATTTCGTTCCTATAATTACCTGTTTAGAGTTTTTCGCTATGGGGCTCGAATATATAGGAACTCCCTTAATCAACTGCGAAATATCAAACCATGGGGGCATTAAAACACAATTCAACACAATCTCCATGCTTGCTATATGTTTTCTGTCAATTGAATGTATCAGAAATATAATACCGAGACCCGTTCTTGTACCAATGCAGAAATAGCATGATTGATGCTCAGCTGTTATTTTGGAGTCAACAGGGTTTTTGTATTCTGAAAGTTGTGGGATTACCTTTTCATGCAATCCTAGGAAACTGTCAAGGACGTCCCACCAATGTGTTTATTCGGGGTTTTATTAAAATCTCCTATAGATTGTTCTCCTTGATAGGAATAATTCTTTTTCTTCTAATTCACACAAAGTTTATTCATGTTAGATTTAATTTTTGGGGTAGAATCATATCAAAGGATCTGATCTGAAAGGACCGTATTTTGATCTAACTTATTGAGCATGCATTTCGAAGGTCCATGTACCCCCAATTCGAGATCGTGATTCCTAACCGAGGTCGACCTCAGAAACGGAGTCTATCTATGCAACACGCGTCTTTTTATATGAGCGTTGTTCACTCGGAGCATACTCACAATAAGAAAACTGGGATGATTTTATAGTTTTGTGCATACATTGAGGATTCGTACTTAAATTCAGTTTAATTTATTCGACCAATAAACACGAGCTTACATGTGGCCCTTTTAGTATATTGACTGCTCAGAGAATGGAATTTATTGCATTCATATGGATTTGAGTGAAGACAAGAGAAGTGAAAGACGTTTT